GGTTTTGGTCTCGACCTCCTTTGCTGGAACTCCAACAGCAGCTGGGGGGGTTTTGGTCTCGACGGCAGCTGGGGCAGGCGGATCCACCGTCTCACCCTGTGTTACTGCTTGGCTAGGTGGTGGAACTCCAATGGCATTTGTGGCAGTTGGATCCACGGTCTCAGCCTCCTCTGATGCTTGGCTCTCTGGGCTTTTGCTCTCAACCTCCTTCTCAGGTACCTTTCCTCCGCGAAGCTGCTTCACTGCATCTTTACTCTCGACTGGAATGCACGTGAGTGCCAGGACAAGCACAAAGGACGACAGCCTCATGATGAGAGGACGAAAGATTACTTCTTCAACACCAAGGGTGCTTGAGCAAGACAGGCCAGGAAGAATTTTCTTCTAAGATTCATTGTGTCCTTCGAGTGGCAGCTCATACACTCACAGCGTTTCATCTGCTCAAAAGTGGCTTGCCACATGTCCAAAACAAATGATGCCGTGAAGGAGGAGAAAAATGCCATGAAACTATCGATCTTCAGCCTTGCTTTGACCTTCACGCTGCAAATCCCGGGCTTCCCTGCAAGTCCACCTGCTCCGGCAGCGGCCGCCAGCTCTTCATCTGGTGCGGTTGGCCGAGAGGCGGAAAGCTGCTTTCTTTGCAACCAACACGCTCTGTTTCAACGAAAAGGATGAAGCACTGGAGGGACCCCTGCTGCACTGGCTGCTGGATTAATCTTTGCGGTTTCAGAAACTTGAATGTTTGATAGCTAGGTTGGACCCAAGATTTGGTGGTCCATGTGTGTTTCTACAAGGTGGGTTGGGCTTCGGGTACTCTCTCAGTTTGAGACAAACCCCATCTTCGAGAGGAAAACCCATCCATGGAATCCGAAATGCACTTATCACTGTTCAAACGCCCGAGGGTGACATCCATTCACGCCTGGCACGTCCTTATGGAAGCCAGCAGCGTGGCAAGGCCTTGGAAGTCTAAGCCCATTTCCAGGATGGTCAGGTAGACACCCACCACGCGGACCGTGCCCGGATTCATTCCCCACACCGACCGACGGAGTGCGCTGCAGGCAACGACTCGTGGCCGACGGAAACTCCAAGCGACCGACCCCAACCAAGCTCCGTCACCGCTTCGTCGCTCCGAACTCTTAGGGCCCCAGACCGGAGGTGTCCAGGGCAGCCTGGCCGCACGATCCCCCTGGTCGGCGATCCCTCAGACGCAGACGACATGTTCACCAGCACCCAATGTACAACTCTCGTCTCAAACCCAACCTCTGCGCTTGGCTCCGCTGATGGGTCCCACCTGCACAAGAGTCGGGGGGGCAAAGCTCTTGAGGGGATGTTGAAAACAGAAAAGCATTCAGTTCTTAGAGAAGTTATTCCTGCAAAATGAGGACGACCCTTCAGCAATGGTCAAGAACAGCAGGACCCCCCCACCCTCAAAAGCAAAGACCAACCTGACACAACGGCAATCATCAGTTGTGCCGTTATGTGGTCCTAGTAGAAAACCATTGAAACTTGAAACATGTTCTTGAAGACCAGAAAGCAGGTACGAGTACCAAACGGCACCAGAAACCTCGCTGTGGTCGCACTGAGGTCTCCTGCTCCTCGCTTCCATCACTGTCCTCGGCACCTCAGACCGCCGGTGACGTCTCACATCGAAGGAGGTTCGGTCCAAGAGCCATGTTTGGTGGACAAACATCTCAATGCCAGGTGCGCCTGTATGTAGCGCACACTCACACAAATGCACAGACTACCAAACACCTCACACTGCCCCTGAGTTGCCACGCCTTTGGCGACAGGAATCCTCTCTGGCTTGGGGAGACCCCCCAGCCAGGTGTGGCGGATTCAGTCGCTTCAACTCTTTTGCATGTAGAAAGCACAAAAACTGGCCGATATCAGATATCCCAGATCTTAATTAAGAAAAGTGAGCCTTCAAACTAGAGGAGGGTTCACTTCAAGGCAAGTTGCGTCGATGCGTGTTTTGTTTTCACTACCGAGTTCCAAATCTCACATTCAGTCAATAGACAGTTTCACATACTTTCACATTTAGTAGAATGATAAATAATAAGTTATCAATCAATCCTGATGGACTCCATCAAACCCTCCCCGTTCCTTGCTTTCGCGGGTGCCTTGCGAAAGCAGATGATAGAACAGGGACCCGGACGCCAAGGATCCAAGGTCAGCACTACCATCCAAGGTCAGCGAACGTCAAACTTGTTAACAAATCGTAACGGTGTGGTCTCGGTGAACAAAATGCAAGCGGACTGGTGAGGGCCCAAGACCAAAGGAGAGCTCTTCCCCTAAGTCCTGGATGCTCAAGCACAAGAATCCCAACATGGGCGACGGCGAAGTTGACCTAGCTGCCATTTCTGGTGGCAAAAACCCAGCTCCTATTTGCCCTATTTTTTGTGGATCGGTCTCTGAGAACATCTCCAAAAAGGCGGCCCATGAACCTCAACACCTGCGTCTCCCAGCGTCTCCTTTTTGCTTGCTTTCGAACAAAAACGCTCAGCTGGCTCCAGCTCGCTTGCTGCTCACCAGCGTCTGGCAGACCGTCTTCAGCTTCTGGGCGTCGAGCCCTGCACGGCCCACCACAAAGCCATCCACATCCTCGAACGATCAGTCGGAACCGAAGAGATGCGAGGAGTCGGAAAACCGTGCGAGTGGCCTGAGTGGCCACGGTTTTTCTGTTGCTTTCCTTCGGATGTTGCACCAACCTCTGGAGGTATGCGCGGTGGAACATCCGAAGAAGGACTTTTCGCGCGGAAAATGGTGCAACTCGACGAGTCCGTTGGCAAAGCGGTCTTTTATGGTCTTTTCAAAAACTGTGAACTCAGCAAATTGCAGGAAAAAGAAGAAGTGATTGGAACCAATCGATTCGTTAACTGTTAGGAAAAAGAAGAACCCGCAATTGTGAGAAGCGATGGGTGGTTTCTGGTCACATGTGTTCAGGCAACTGCAGCGTCGTCCGAAATCATGCCAAGAGTACCAAAGAAAGCGGTGGAAACCCTTCGTATCTGAAGCTCAGTCAAGTCTCTGGAAGGACTGCATACTGCTCGGCGTTCTTCTCATTCACGGAACCTAGACTGCGGGGTTGTGCTGAAACGGCGGAACCTCGTGCAGCAGGTGCCTTTGGGACCAAAGACACCAACAACAACCAAAACGCGCCAAGTCGGAAAGGCTTCGCGGTGTCCGACGCCTTTCCGGGACGTTCTCTTCGCGGTGTCCGACGCCTCTCCCCTCTCCGATCCCTCTTCCTGCGGGGCCATCCAGCCGTCCATCGGGTCCCTCTTCGATCCCAAGGGACCGGTGTAAAGGAACCGGCACTGCAGGGTCTCCTCCCCGAAGCACTCCCGAAGCCACGCGCGCAAGGAGCGGTGCACCCGCTGGCACTCGCTGGGCTCGCAGGGGGTGGCGCCTTCCCCCACGGCCCAGACCTGGGTGACTGCAAGACGGTGGTCAAATGGTCAAGTAGAAAAGCCAAAAAGAAAGGGGATCCAACTATAGTGACTAAGTGGATATGTTTTTGTCCTTTCCTGATGCGTTCTTTTCTTAAATACTGCTTTGTCTTGTGTTTCGTCATTTTGTCCCCTTCTTTTCTTTCTATAGACCTTCAGACCTATACTGGAGTTGTTTCTTCCTTCCTTGCTGGCTGGTCACTGGTCTTTGCAAAACCAAAAGGCCCAACTAGTGGAGCCAGTCGAACGAGATGCGACTGGCGACTGGTCGATTGTGATGGCCCGGTGCTGGGCATCCACACTGGCTCATAAGCCACGGCCACTCGGCCCCAGGCCTCTTTGGGCACTGCCTGCAAGAATACAGCTCATACGGTCATTTGTCGGACAATTTCCAAATGAGTCTCCTGTAAACCATCACCAAAACTGAAGGATTGAGCGAGACCCCGAGTTGAAGCTGAGCATAAGTCCTCCAAATAATTCAGAGTTGGATTATCTGTGGACAAAAGCAGCAGCGAACCACAAGGTGGGAAATGCTTCAACCGTCCTCCGGTTCTGCAGGGCTCCGCCGATAAAACATGATAAAACCCTCTACATCTTCTGCACTAGATGTTCATTTCCTCGGACCATCTCCGACCCCCTAACAGCTTCCCGTTCGAGTCCCGTCGGTAGGTGCTCGGCCTCGGCCACCGAGCGCAGCTGCTCCTGCAGCACCTCCAGCTCCCATCCACGGCTCCGGGCGTCCGCCTTTTCACCTCGGCCGGACGGCGAAAGCACAGGACCGACCACCGCACCGGGTGGAACGCGTTTTCAGACGCAAGCACCTACACTGCCTGTCACGCAGTAGGCCCCTCAAAGAGAGCATGACAACATGACGCATGCGAGCCAAAACAGCTTCACGTGTCCCCTAGAACGTGAACAACTTTCCTGTGATTTTGAGGAAGAGAAAAAACCTTTCCACATTCGCATCACTTCAAAAAAGATTGCAAAGAAAAGAAGCAACGTCTGGACTTACACCCGTGCCGGCTCCGGATCGACTATTGTTGCCAGCTTGGCTGAGTTGGCTGGCCCACAAATCTGGATTCGACACCACTGGAAGGAAAACTAACCCCAATTCTAGCCTCACAGGCAGCGGGTCTGGGCACCATATGTATCAACATGTTCAGTGGAAGCCATGGTTCCAGTTCCAGCCCACGAGTTCCATCTTTCCTGCCCCGATGGTCCTGTTCAAGCCGCCGATGGTGATATTCACGTTCAAGCCACTTTCAAGACATCGCCTGCAGAAAAGGACAGGGGAAGACGTCCGGACGGACCGATCGACCGGCGAACCGGAGGTCGGGTCGTTCAATCACCTGGTGGACTGGGTCGGGTCCCCCCGTCTCCGATTGGGGGTCAACGAGTCCTTTCGGGGGCCAAACGGGGTCGAGAAACCGGAAGCATCGGACCCAAAACGGGGGAGACCTCATCACCCAGAGAACATCGGACCCGTTTCCCACGGCTGCTTGATGATAGAAAACCAAAAAAACAACACACAGGCCAAAAGAAACTCAAACCGGTTACGTCACGAACCTGTGATAGTATGTTATAGTACTTGACTTGATGCAATGATGCAAGGATCAAACGATAAAGAACACTGCCTGGGCAGTGTGGCGTCCCTTCCACCCATGGCTCATCTGGGATCGTCTCGTCTCCCAACCGCCAGGGCTCCCAGGCTCTCCCAGGCTGATTCGACGCACCGAACGGCCGGACCGGCCACCACGCTCGGACCCCCCCACCCAAACGCGCCTCACCTTCTCACTGATGAGCTGGTGGGACTCGCCCAGCACATTCCGCCGGTCAGAGTGCCCGAGCAAGACCCATTCACAGCCAATGCCTCGGGAGAAGTATGGGTCCCAAAGGTCCTGGAGAAGTGAATCATTCGCTACAGCGTTTTGCTTCAATGTGGAGAGAAATCCAAGATCCGAAGCTATGAAACATGATCAAAGCCAGTTTCAGGCAACTGAAACCGCAAGAAGGGTCAAGAAGCTTACCACTAGGGGTGCTTTCAAATGGCCGCAAACGAATGCTCGACGAACAAAGCCCCCACGAAAACGATTGCTTTGAATCCCAAAATCCGCACACACAATGGAGTTTCGTTGTCTGAGCCACAGATTATGGTGCCGCAAAATAGGGTGACTTCTATCTTGGTGCCACAGTTGGCGCCGCCCTAAGTACTTAGAAGTTAGAAGTACTCCTTCCTAAAGCCTTCCCTCCCTGGCCTTTTAGCATCTTGGACGTTACCACACCAGTGCAGCCAAAGCCTTCAGCCGCATCCCAAGCATTCTGGCTGCCCACCAGGATCTCTTTCCTAGGATTGTGCCGACTTTCTGAATACAGCACGGAGCAGGTGCACACGAAACCACTCATGCAACACCACATGACATGACACATGTGTGTGTGTGTGTGTGCTGACCAGAGACAGGACGCCTGTGACCCTTCCATCTCTAAGCTCTCGCCTGCGCCTCATCTTTGATCCCAAGCGGCGGCAACAGCCGCCGCGCGCGTTCGAGGAAGACGTAGGGCGCGAAGATGCAAAGCTCCAGGCCCTCCAGCGTCCCATCGCAGGCGAGACCGGCGAGAGCGGCAAGGAGCGCATCGACCTCCTCCACAGATTCCAAGCTGCACTTCCAGTTGGCACCTTCGAAAGACTGACGTCGGCGTGTCTTTGAAGGTCAATTCTACTTCAAAAGTGCCACCCTGCAGAATGCAGACCTCCTGTTGAACTCTGACCCGCACTCAGGCAACTGACCGATAGGGCCAAAAAGGGGGGTCCGGTGCACATGAGCGACATCTCTTCTGTCACTTCTGTCACTTCCATTGACGACATCTCTTCTCCGTAACCTGCTCGACCACCCCCGAGCGACCCAATGGAGCCGAACGCCTCCACCGTCCGATCTCTCGAAGGCCTCGGCCGATCCGACACCGATCCCAGGGACCGGCCTATGAAGAGCTTCTTCGCCATGGCCAAAGGCGAGGGCGGAGCGAGACAAGCTCTAGGCCGCAACAGGGGGCTGTGCAATGGGGAGACACACAAGCAATCAGGTTTCGGTCTGTGTTCCTTCTTCCAGGGGGTCGAACTGGGAGGTCTTCCTATTTTAATACACCCAAATGCTCTGGAAAGATTTGGATCCACTGAGCTGCGATGTGCATTGCTGGGAGTTCCTCAGGCCTCAGTTCTGCGTCGCCCAGTCCTCAGGTGTCTTGCTGCTCTGTGCGTTCCGTATCTTGCTTCTGATCCCAAGCTCTGAAATCACATCGTTCGTCCGCCGAACGCGGCCCCAGATCCGCTTGCAAAACATCTCAAATGCTGAAGCGGCCCCACCTGGTATACTGGACATATCTGGTCCTACCCAAAAACCTGCAACTAGACGAGAGTGGGTCTGCCCTTTTTCTCGGACCCACCAGGGATTTCACTAGCTGGGATTTGAAGGGGAGTCCCGCTGGACTATCGGCTCTTGCAGCGTTTCAACAGCAAAAAGCACGACCCGTGTACCTTCAACAGCGAGGATGCGGGAAGGGATACCTCAGAAGCGAGAATGATCTGCATGGCTTACACTATCTAAACAGTTTGCAAGACCTTAAAGCCTCCAACTATCTGTCTCAAACCAGGGAGGTGACGCAAGAATAAAAACGTTGATCAATCACAGGCACCGTATGGGATAGGATGCGTCGCAACGTTTGGAATCTACATCTACATCTCATACACTCCGACGAACACATCACATGAAAGTGGATGGCTCACCCTGTCTGCCTATAGAGGAAAATAGTCTTTTCAGGGGTCAGTTCCACCTCCGTCATTGAGCCCAGCCACCGAATCCGCCGAAAGGCTAGCACCTCAGTTGGGGACTCTCAAGTGGCTGTCAGTCTATGGAGGGCAAGGACACGGGTGAGTCAGTGATTCCACATGAGGCCAACCAAATAACTTCAAGCTTGGAAGCCTGCTTTGGAAGCCTATCAAAGGAGACTCGAGGATCATATCCAAGACTTCCAGTTCCAACACCTTCAAAAACAAAGCCCCCAAAGCCCCTCACGTCGCTTGGTGCTCTGAGGCGAAAGGCCGCCTGCCTGGCCCAGTCTGTCGGGGTGCAATCGAGACCGATCGGCCAATCAAATTATCCAAGTCTCTCCTTTACATCTTTCAGAAAGTCTGAACCCATGTTCAGCAGTTTAAAGCCCTGCATCCAAACATTTTTGACTCTGCTTTGCCAAAAAAAGGAAGAAATTGAAAAAAACAAACGATCTCTCTCAGAGAAATGCATCGAGAGGACGTCGACGGCGACGGTGACCTCGAGCGCGTCACCCAGCAGGAACGTCTGGCGTCTCCTGTAAAGCTCTGAAAAGCTCAACAGCACAAAGAGGCCTTTGCACTTCAATGGAAGGTGGGAAGCAACGCGCACGAGTCGGCGCAACTCTCGCCCTTTCGGATGTTCACCGATCACGTGGGGCTTTGGCCGCCTCGGAAGGCCTCACTGGGGCGCCCGACCCACCCTCATAGCGCACGCAGAAGCTTTGCCTTGAGCGCACCTCTGATGCATGGACCTGAGAAAGTTCGCCCCTGGTCAAGGAGTCGAGACCTGCCCTGACCTGGCCACCAGAAGGAAGTCGTTCCGCGACCAAAACCAATGGTTTTTCTGTTTGATACCAACCTTGTGGTCAACTAACTTAAGTGAATCATTGTGAATCATCACAGAAAGGCTCCAACCTGCAAAACGAGTTCCACCACCGGCGCGAGTCTCCGCGTGCCAAGTTCGAGCCTCCGCACGGTCTCGACCTCTGACTTCCGTGCATGCACCTTTCCATGCGGGCGGAGCGCTGGCGGAGCGTGGGCGGAAACGAAAGCACGGCCACAGCCCCAAAAGCAGTTGGAGACGTCTCTGGTGGCGGGAAGTCCTACAGCATCCTACAGCGCTTTTCCTAGATCCACTGCGTTGGCCCGCATATTGGCCCATGAACCCTGTGAGAATTTGTCGACGTCGTGAAGGCCTGAGAAAACCTGCTCCAAAAACCCAGCAGGGGAAAAGGATTCAAGTCACAACAAACGTTGGGTGAGAAGACTAGGAGCAAGAGGACGCTACTAGGGGCTCCTGGCATCGCTACTAGGAGCAAGAACGCTACTAGGGGCTCCTGGCCTTACTACTAGGAGCAAGGACGCTACTAGTAGATACTAGTAGCATGGACTCTATCAAAAAAGTCTCTTGTTTTCGTCGCCATCCACCACATCAGAAGCTGCAAGCAGCTTGCGCTTTCCGAACCCCGCTGAAAACCGGTTGGGCTGAGGGCCATGCCACTAAGCCTGCATGGCCGAGATGGAAACGGACACAAACACTGCATGTTCAGGAAGAAATGCACCTTCAAGTTCAGCTGAAAACAGTACATAACTTACATAACAGTAACGCATTTGAGATTTGGAAATTGATCCTCCAATTTCTACAGTGCAGCAAGCGACCAACCCACCTGCACATGTTGGAACCACTGCCAAATCGTCCCTGTCCAATGACATGATGCTTCCTCGTCCCTGTCAGACAGAGGAGTCCATATTCATTTCATGACCGGTGCCTTCGTGACTCGCAGTGTCCTTCTTCGCTTTCTGTCCCCAATCGCTGAGAACCAAAAAGGACATCCACCCCTTCCAGCCCTTCCAGCGCTTCTCCGCTGACTCGCCTTCTGAGCCGTGCTCCGCGCCACCGAACTGCACCCGTCGCTCCATCTCGCACCCCGAACGGCGGTTCGAGGGTGGGAAGTGGGATGTGTTCGTGAAAAAGGTACGAGAAAAATGAGATAGGCAATTAGGCCATCGAGATCTATCGAGCCCAAGAGAGAGCAGCACCCACCCAACAAGCTTTGGAGGGTGCTGTTGGTCAGCAGATCTGATCTAGTAGAAGCTGCTGTTCTGCTGACTACTTGAAGAAGCTGAAGTTCTGCGACTGGGCAACCAGAGCAAATCCTTTGTTCGTGACCTAACTCATTAGGTGCTCTGTTGGGGCCTTCCTTTCCCTCCAGTGACCACGTCACAGCAAATGGATCCAAATGGAAATCTGCGGGAAAGGAAAGGTGAGCCATCACAAGCATTTGGGGTTTTCTAGAAGCTCACGCAGTCCACAAACTCACACAAACCTGTCTATGGAGGAGGGGGCTGAATCTGAAGCCGTGAAGTGGGCCAAGTGTAATATTGCACAGAGTTGTGATAGACTTCCATAGAGTAAGTTGTAGCTTCCAATAGCCAGCACTCTGGCTAATCAAACGTCGGTCATCTAGAAGTAGGACTACAATCAAAAAACTCGTCTTGTCACGCTGCTGCTCAAGCCTTTGCCTCACCCGGAGGCAGAGGTAGCGGATGACTGAGCTGTGCGGCAAATCACCCATTGATGCACTAGACACCTCTTCTGAAAAGCTGAGTTCATTGAATCCCAAAAAAACAACACAGGTGTTTGCCCATGAGCTATGCACTGCTCGGCAAGCAATGATCATTCGACCCATGCATGCCGGGCGCAGGACTGATTTTGCAAACCAGACGTTTTAGCCTGAATCATCAGTACTGGCTGCTCGGGGCACAAGAGTTCCCAGGTGCCGGCTGTGCCGGCTTCAATGGATGCCTTCACAAAAATTGCAACCAAAAATGCAGAGCCAGGATCAAAACCTCGTCATATTCAAGGACAACACTGCATGTCGCTGGTGATCATTCCCACCTCAAATCCAAGGTTTTTGACCCTGGCTGGTGCCACTGGGTCAGGACATGTTTCGCCCCAACCCCGCGAAAACGGTCGGCCGAAAACAGGCGAAAACCTCCCCAAGCGACGGTCGCTGCCTGTCCAGAGACCGAGAGGGCCAAAGAATTCGGCCGAGCGAAACCGCCCGAATAAAGCCCCGCCGGAATCTTCGTGTCCGAGCGGATGGGCTGCAGCTAGCGCCTGCCGCGCAAAAAGGCGCCTCGGATGTGCGGGTCGATCGAAGTCGAGGCGTTTTGATAGGCTGTAGAAGCAATACAAATAGTACAATATGACTATATAATTGAAATGCATGTCCTCTTGGTAGACCAAATCGGGACGGAAGAAAAGCTTCGGTCTGGAACTTCGGATCTTTAGTAATCCTCAAATGAAAGCACCCTGCTTCAGAACACATGACGAGAACACTCGGCTTCAGGCCGGTGAATTGCAGTATCCACTTCGTGGGATACCTTCTGTACGAAGTGTTTGTCCACGAATCCTGATCAGAGTCTATTTGCGCAAAGACCCGGCAAAAAAAAACTCAGAAACTGCAACAACATGTCACATGTCTATGTTGTAATCTACCTCGGGTTTGACGCCTCAGCTCGTTTTACGAAGCTTGCGTCAAGTGGGCACTGTTCCTCTCTGATGACTCGCAATAGGCAGTTGCAACTCTTGCAATCGTCCCCATGCCAAAAAAAGAAAAGGCACACCCCACCTCGTGGCCTAATTGGTCAATTGGGGCCCTCAGGTCTCCTGTCGGCGCATGCCTTGGCGGACTGTCAGAACTGACTGGACAGAGTGAGGCAAAAGGTTACAGGCAACTTCTGCCTGTCGCTCGCTTCGCTTTTGCCATGCTTGAGGAGCCAGGAAACCATGAAACGTGCGAAAATACGATCAAGGCCCGAGGCACCGTCTTCAGCCGAACGGAACACCGATGGATCCAACCGGTGCTTTCGCTGTGTTTCGCTCCCTCTCCGTCCGAACGGCACCGCAGCACCGCTCTTCCCGTTCACAGCGGCCCAGGGCCCGCGCTTGCAGCTTTGCGACGGGACCTGAAGTAAGGCTTCCCGGGATCCCGGCGCAATTGGCAAAATCACACGAAAAGGCGAGGAGGCCCCTGAAAATAGTTTGGGGCCTGATCTGCTTCGTGCTGTCCTTTTTGGATTCCTTCCTCGACGTCGCTCAAGGAGCTGATGCTCCAACACTCTGATGCTCTGGGAGCCAGGCTCGGCAGTAGCTTCACTGCCGTGGCCATAAAGTTGAAACCTCGCATCCTCACAGCGCGACGGTTTCGACAATGGGTAGGTGTTCATGGGCGCCATCTGGCCGAATCAGTTTCGGCTGATGGCTGCGATTTCACGTTACAATGACTAGTCAACTAGTCTTGGACGCAGCCTGGACAACATTCTCAATGTACCCTCTGAAAACTTGTTGCAGTTACCAGCGTTCATACAAAAAGTTCATCCAGAAATGCTCCATATTGCTCCCCAGAAGGCGGCGCCCAATAGAAACAAGCGTCAGGAAAGCAGCTCCCAAAAAACGCGTCGCCAACACAGCGAAAAAGCACCGGTCACGGTCATGCTCAGAGCCGGCCCAGCTCTCTCCTCATGCTCAGAGCCGGTCAAGGTCTTCAAAACCTTCTTAGCTGCCTGATGTCCATGCCTGGTCGAACTGTTGCACTGATCAATGATCAACTGGGGGGATTGTCAAGATCAACCACAGGTTGACCTTAACAGCCGCCCAGTCATGGCTGCCTGTTCAAGCACTCCGAATGCATTTGCGCACTTCCTTCGCACGACACGCAGACACGCGTCGACGAGCTCAAAAGGTCCCTCACAGTTCCTTCGCAGTGTGGCCGCCGCAGCTCGAAAGGGGCTTCCAGGCCTTGTGGTACCCATCTTCCGAAGAAGCCCTGGCCTGAACGCTCAACACTCTCAAATCAAAAATACACCATGTCTGACTAAAATCGCAGCAATTCCTGGAGGCCACCCTTCGAACATAGTGAGGATCGCGGAAGTGAATCTTGACCAATGAACTCCATGGGGAAAGAAAGACGTTGTCCTCAGTCCTCATCTCAGCCCCACGCACTCTGAGGAGTGATCTCGCCAGTTGCACCTGGAGCTGAAAGGATTTTTACCCCCACTCTGAGAGGACTATATCATCCCATTCAGCCAAGAACTAGTAACAAGTGCATCGCTACTAGTAACAAGGGCATCACTACTAGGAGCAAGGACGCTCCTAGAGTAGGGCCTAGGGGTTCCAGCTGAGCTTGAAAAGTTCCTTCGCCACTATCGCAGGAGTCCGGTCCTATGCATTGACTGTCAAGTGTCACTACCCATCTCCAGACTCCGCTGACCATTTTGTAGCGAAAGAACCCAGTCTGGTGAGCTTTCCATGCACATTGCTCTTGTCAAAATCGGGAAGAAACCGATGGACGACCGCCACCGGACTGCCAGGGCGTTGCACACGAATAGCGTCTTGGGCACGGTGGCGCAGATCCATCGCTCCCACCGGCCACCGGCCACTGACGCTGTCCCCCCCCCGTTCTCCCGCCGGCCCACGCGCCCTGCAGCTGCCTTCTCCTCCCTCTGCGCCACTGACATGATTTTCACCATCACAGCAGAGACGTAGACATTGTCGCTCTCATTGCCTTCCATGGGTCATTTTGCTAGCGCAAAAAAAAGTCCTTTTCGTGACCTCTGCAAATGGTCAGGAAGATCATTCTGGGGATAGAAAATGTCCTATCCATCCTTTGCCCTGAAAACCTCCACCCTAAACAGTGCGAGTGCGGTGACCCAACCGACGTCGAATTCGCACCTACCAACGTCACATTGTCCATCAAGGAGTGGAGCAAGCGGCGGCGCTGCTCCCGAGTGCCTGTAAACAGGCTGGCTCTCTTGCTCGGGGACTCAAGCGGCTGGGACCCAATGATTCCTCATAGAATCTGGGTCAACTCAGGGCACTCGTGTCAGTGATGGCGGATTCTACCAAGGCCTCTGAGACTTCCACCCCACGCGACCAGACTTCTACCATGCTTCTCTCTTGGCATTCATACTGCCATGAAAAAACAGAAAGGATCTCGGCTTCGAAATTGGGAGAAGCATCAAAAACTCAGACATGAATGATGGCTGTTCTGCTTTAAAGCTTGTACATGTAACACCGACCGACAGCAAAGACAAGCGGACTTTTTAGCAGTCGGTTTGGAACATACTCCTGCCGGCTGCACCTGGGAGCTTCCCAGGTGCAGACTTCCCGCGAGCGTCGCGGACCCACCTGTGGTTGGGAGCTTCCCACCTGTGCGCAGGTGAGTTTCCGGGAGGGTGGGGTAGGGAAAAGGAAATCTCACCTACCCTCGAACCTAACAAGCGGAAACGCAAAACACGGTCATGACAAGTCATGAGTGTGTTCTGCTTTAAAGCTTGTACATGTAACACCGACCGACAGCAAAGACAAGCGGACTTTTTAGCAGTCGGTTTGGAACATACTCCTGCCGGCTGCACCTGGGAGCTTCCCAGGTGCAGACTTCCCATTCTCAGTCAGGATTTCCAACGACTGAAGTATTTCTTGGCCTTCCTCCTAGTGAGGTCCAACTTCGGCTTCTCTTTGTTCTTCTTTACTTTGTGGTCCTTGATCTCGTTGAAGAGCTTCTCACTGCTTTGCAGTAGGTCATCCATGACATGCCACTTCAACTCCTCTTCTATCACTGCCTCCCTTCTTTGGGGATCAAATGAACTGAAGTCCTCATTCGTCAAGGCGTCTGCCAAAGTGTTACCATCCCTTCTCACCCATGTGAGTGTAGCAAAGGCGTCGCACCTTCGCAGTGTCTCTGCCACCTCAATCACCAAAATGGTGATTGGGTACTTCGTAGAAAGGCCTTTCTGGAGTATGAAGGAATTGCCCTTGTTGTCGGTGAACGCTTCAGCCCTCACCTCGGCTGTGTCACCAGCCTTCTTCAACCACAACTTCAGGGCAATGAGGGTCGCCAGGAGCTCCAATGCTGCAATCACTCTCTTGGGGTTTTTGCCCCTGTAAAGCAGCCAGGGGGCGCTCACTTCTGTCACCTGTAGCGAAAACCAGCGACACTTCATGCTGTCCTCACACTCCTCAAGCCAGCCTCCAACCCATGCTGCCTGCTCTGTTGCTTTCGCGTCCGTCCAGATTCTCACTGTACCGGAACCTGATGCTGGAGGCTTCTTGACTACCTCCATGTGACCCCCGGTCTTGAGCCTCTGTGCCACCCAGTCTAGGATGAATTGCACAGCCCAAGGGATGGTCATTGCACCCTTGTTGGCTTGGATCGCTGAGGCCCAGGCGTACAATGGCCCGAGCAGGGGCTTCTCCCACGGCAGCGCCAAAGCCGAAAAGCCCAGCCTCCCAAGTCCAGCTGAAAACTCACGGAAAGTGACCTCTTTTCTCTCCCTCAAGGAGCCAATCCAATCAACAAGCCAGCTCGCTCTCCTCAAGGAAAGGCCCATGGAGAAAGCACTGTAATCCGTGGTGAGTCCAATCCATTCTGTAACGATGCCACCCCTCTGTTTTGCCCACTTGAACGGTGCACCAAGGGAAGCCATCACAGAATAGGCCAACACACCACCGATGCGTCCCCGACGCCCTATCGTCAACACCTCAAGATCATCCGCGTAAAGCAGCATGTCATTCGGAAAGAAGTCACCCAACACCCAATAGACAAGCCTCATCAACGCTGCACTCAACCTTGCCCACCAGTAGGGTGTCGATGCCACTCCGAAAGTGCCAACTCTGTTCACATAAACTGTACTTGAACTGGTGGAAGAACCTTGCTCCTCCACACAATACTTGAACCTCCGGTGAGCCTTTGCGAAGTCACCCACCAGAGAAAGGACAGCAACCCGGCCAGCCTCATACTCCTCCAGAAGAGCGCGCTTCTCCCTGGGCCCCGGCATTCGGACCTTGTCCTTGCACTTGATCCGATGGTTCACCATGACACCATGTGTGCCATCATGAATCACTCTCTTCTTCCCGGTCAACTCATCCTCCACCAGCGCCGCTAGGGCTGCCACTGCCCTGTCCTTCCCGAAGGTCTCTATGAACTCCGCCTCATCCATCTTCAGCATGAGCGCTTCAGCCACCTCCTGCTCCAGGTGTTCCGTCAGGTACCTCTCATGTTCCGCCGCCGAGGCATAGTTGTCCTTCTGCCATGCCGCATTGCCCCAATCGTCTCCGTCGAGGCTCCACTTCATCTGCTCCTCAAAGATCTCTGGTGTCCGTGGAAGGTCGTTGATAACCCCCAAAGGCAAGCCGGTCTTCGCCTGCTCTAAGAACCCCCAATCCGGGTCCCCTGCCTTCTCCAGGATGCATTTCATGAGGTCCAGGAAGAACGGCTGTCCCGCCTCCGGTTGCTCCTGCTTCGGAATGCCCAGACACTCGGCCAGCATTTGCCTGATCTCCTCTAAAAAGCCCTCCTCTCGGACCAGTTGAAATGCATCGCCGCCTCTCGCCATCCGGAAAGCTTCCTTCTCGACCTCCTCAACACTCCCCAAACGTCTGACTGCGGCCAGCAGGATTCTATGCCTCAGTGCCCTCCATTCTCTTCCAACCAACTCTTTTCTCTCCCCCTGGGGCCATCTCCCCGGGGACGCCAAACCTCCTCCATCATGAAAAGGTGCCTCCATGCCCTTCCATCTACACGCCCTCGGGGGACCGTGCCCCCCCGGAACCAGTGGTTTCATCGGATCAACTCCACCTCCAGCGCCTTGACCGCTCCTTGGTCGCTTCGCCATAGATTGGTCGCCCTGGCCAACTTCAAGCTTCCTCTTCTTCAATGCTGAAGTAGGTGTCTCATCCCCCCCGTTCCACTCTTGCATGAAGGAGATGAGAATGGCTTCAGCTGTCCATTTGCAGAGTGCTGGAGGCCATGCTGCTGACTTTGCTGTACGAAAAACCCCCCCTGCTTTCCCGATCAGAGGGGCGCCCCCTGATTGCCTAGGAAGAGGTCCCTCGTACCAGCCCTGAGCATCAAACTGTGGAATACCTGAATGCATTGCTGGATGAAGAGGTGCAAACATGCGCATCAGGAATCTTGTAGGTTTTGGTGACTCTGTACCAAACTCTGACTGAGCAAATACCACTGTCTTCACACCTGGGATCTGCAACAACTGTTGAAACTGTGCAAACTGCCACATAGACGCCGGTTGATGCCCCGGAATCCTCTCATATTTGGTCCTCCCGAGGTCCTCTGGTTGCTCCATCAAACCGACACGTTGCTTGCATGCAAACTGACGCTTCAATGCTTCAAATGAAAAGTCAGCTAAGATTGTTCCAAATTCTGCCTTGTGAAATCGCTCTGCCCTATTCCACGGAAAACCCCTCGGGTATGTCGAGCTCCTCAATGGGAAAGGCCCCAAATCATTCGCCCACACTGCTCTCGAAAAGGTAGAACAGGGCGGCGTCACAATAACAGCATAGTAGATGCCTTGAGCAATCAACTGCAGCCACTTCTTCTGTACAGAAGGGATTGTAAAATCCGATCGACGATCAGACTGGATGTCCAACTCAGTGATCTCCACCTGAACACCCTTTCGTTGTGCCAGCTTTCGAAGAAACCACGCCACGGAGTTCCTGCGCTTCTTCCCCGAAAACACGTAGAGGACTTTCAAAGGTCCTCATTTTGCCCCGTCTGTGTCGGGAGCTGCCGCCTCCTTCCTGTTCTTTGCATTGCATTCGTAGAGGGGGTGTTTCTCACTGAAACATATTCCGCACACATGGCGGTACTTGCATTTGGCCATCTTGCACTTCTCCCCCGGGGTGTTGTACCTGAAGCAGATCAAATCTCCTTCAGGTGTATGCGTGGCACAATGCGGACTCCCGCTTTTTCCTTTGCCCTTCTTCGCCTTGCCTTTTTCCTTGCCTTTGCTACCCTTCTCGACTGCCTGCCACTTGTTGGTTGGCTGTTCTCTCCATGGCGGTGTAGGCCTCTTCGCATACAATGCCAAAGGTGTCGTGAAGTTCCTCTCCTTCACTGTTGCATCCTTCCATGCTGTCTTGAGTGCCACTGTCAAGGGCTTACCCTCTGTGTTGGTGATCTTCACCGCCTGCTTCCGGATGGCCCGCTCGTATGCGATGATCAACTTCCATGGTGGAGCAGCAAAGGTCTGGCCCTCCGCATCCTTTGCACTGAGCCCATATACGTAGTCCCCCAGGAGGTAATCCTTGTACTGCTCAATCGTCTCCTCCCAGGCCCCCTGCAGCTCATGCCTATTCGAATGCTTCAGTGAGATCATGACCATCGCATTCTTCCAGATCGTCAAGCGGCGTCTGAGTTCTTCAGCGTTCGCCGGTTCAGGCACTTTTGTCGATGCCTTGCGCATGGCCAATCGGCCCTTGGAGTCCCAAATGGGCACGACCCCATCGGGCTCGATTTCTTCTTTTGATACTACTTCTGTAAGCTCCTCAGCCCGGTATTCGCCACTTTCAACCTCTGCCAATTTCTTCTCAACGAATTCTTTCGAGGGATATATCTTATCCTCCAGGTGGCCATACTTCTTCTCCAGTGCTGAGCGCATTGCCGCCCATTCCCCTGCCACCACTGGCCTGGCCCACTGAGACGTGTCGTACTCTGCGTCTACCTCCGCAGCTCTCTGGCTCCTTGTCTTTGCATTGCTGAAGGCACATGTGATTGCCGCCACTTGTACCCGCTCCTCCAGTGACCTGTCTGAATCCAGCTCCCAATGCTCCTTGAGGACCGTGGCCAGGTCATCCCTATCTTTTGCAAAATTTGACAGCTTCTCCAATGTTGTAACACCATGATGAAAGAAGAGCTTCTGATTGTCAACACTCACCTCATGCCTCGAGAAGAGGTATTTGATGTCGGTGCCTGCTAGTTCTAGTGCTTTGCTCCCTTCAGCCTCCGAGATGGCTGCACGCGGCATGTCAAGCGCCCACCGGTGAGCGCCCCCCGCCCCGCCTGTCTGAACCAGAACAGGTTTCAAAGCACGCGATGCTTCTTATGGACACAGCTTTGCCCACCTTCGTGCATGCTATGCACTGTTCCGCTCACATGCGATGTGAAAAACTCTATCGGTCTGTGGTGCGCCCAGCCTTCTCCTCCACTGGTAATGGCACTGCGCTTGCTGCGCTCCGCCCCCAAGCCTGAGCGGCTCGCTCGGCTCAGGGTTGCCTTTACTCCTACCAGTGGCCTCCGCTAGATGCGATCTAGCCCTCCCTCGTGCTGCGGCACGAACCCTTCCCTGGGTGCGACCCAGGTTATCCTCCCTATGCAGCTACCCCTTGATGCGGCTCAGACGACTCCTTTTCAATCGCTGAGACTCAGTTCATCTCTCGAGTCACTTGTGGACTCACTTAGGGGATCGCTACCCCCGCCCCAACACAGCTTGCATCGGAGGGTGTACTCTTCCGGTTCCGGAAGCTCCTTGTGGATCTCCGACCTCACAAAGAAACGCTTCTTGGCCATCCAGCAGCCTTTCACTCCAAGCCGGTGCAGCGTACCCCTACCGGCTCGCCTGTACACCACGACGTAGTTCCCCTCTCGTTCCTCTTCCAAGGGGTCATTCATCTTCCTCTTCTTCGGGTCCGCTTGCTGCAGAGCTGCTGTCTCCCCCTCGCTCTGAGATCCATCATAGATCGTGGTGTCCTCGTCCGAAACACGCAATGTCGCCGGTGGCCTCCCTCTGACGCCCAACTTCTCCTTCCATGCCTCCACAACACTCTCGGCCTGGTCCTCCGGGACTGTCCACTTGTCTCTAAGCCACACCTTGAGCTCCTCCAAAATGGAGCCTTCGTCCAGCTCTTCATAGGCGGCCTCCCCTCGCAACACTGCCACGATCTTCCTTTGCATCTTCCTGACTATCGTGTTGTATGTCCGGACGTAAACGTCCGAACCTTCCGGACACCAGCGACCCAACAAGTCTCTGCTTGACTTCTCCACGCCCAAAGCAGCAAGACCGCTGGGCATTGTTGCGCGCTCACTGTGCTCTGTCCAGAATCTTTCCCATCCTGATGGGATCAGCCCACCATCGTAGCCCTCCAGCAGTGCAAACGCTCTTGAGCTCCCGGCCACCGCCTCCGCATATGAGACAGGCGCTGTCCCATATGCTGTGCCATAGAAGCACCCTTCAGGGAAGACAAACACACGATCCCTTGGCATCTTCAGCTTAACCAGGTCATAGCCCACTGCCAGCCAATCGTCATGCAACACATAAGCGTCTTTTGCAATGAAAATCGGCAGCTCACGAACCCGTTTGCCAGCACCAGTTGTCTTGGTCTGATGCATCATCCCCACCAACTGTCCATCATAGAAGCGGAGCTCCGTAGTCCTCAGATGCGCTGCATCGTCAAATCTCAAGGAACCCCACAGCTTGATGAGCTTAAACCATGCACACACCCTCACCTCGAAAGGTGTTGCAGCATCGATCACCAGCGTCTCCATTGGAGCCACGAAGCACCCCAGCCATCGGGGCGCCCTCCGGACTGGCGGTGCACTCTGCTCCAACTTCCTCGTCAACTCCTTCATGACCATCTGTGGAAAAGCCTGGTTCATCAACTGCTCCTCCTCCGGCGTCCCGGCAGTCCGTTCAAACCATGCCACTGCCGTGCTGACTGCCAGTGGAATGGATGGACCCATTCCTTCCTCCTCCCTCGCATACATATAGTCCACGAGGGTCACTGTGTTTGGTCGCTGACCTGGCTTCCCCATAGAATCTGCCCAGATTCTGAACCTCTGCCAGGACGCCAGATACCTCCTGATTGTCGAGATGCGATACTTCCCCAGCAGAGCCTCCTTGGCTCGACCTGGGTTCATTGACTTCTTCACCTCTTCAAGGACCGTCGCCCTGTAATTCACCAGCTCACCCACCAGCTTGTCCAGGACCTTGCTGCTCACCTCGTCCTCGGCCGCGATTCGCCCGCTCTTCAACCGAACCGTCCTCCCCAGGGTGCCGCGCTTCGGCTTCACGAGGACAACCGCCAGGGGCTCAACAGGTTCGAGGGACTTCTTCTTCTCCTTGTCCATCACTGCCTTGGCATCTATGATATTCTGCACTGACCTCGTCGACGAGGTTCCACCCAGCCTATCTTCCAGATCCACCATCTGGACTGCCTCACGCACCTGGCCTGTGACAAATTCAGTATGCCAGGGCTTGTGATCGACACCAAGGCGCTCCGTCAGTTGTTTCGCCAAGACCATCTCACTCCCATGGCTCACAGCTAGGCGCGCGCCTACGAGGCTCAGCTCCATCAACAAGTTCTGGAGCTTCGCAGCCTCTTCCGGGTCGGGGGGGCAAGACCCCCCCTCCATTCCTCTAACTAAAAGGAAATCTCACCTACCCTCGAACCTAACAAGCGGAAACGCAAAACACGGTCATGACAAGTCATGAGTGTGATTCACACAGCCGGTCTGATGGATTGGCCAAAACATGTGTTTTTTCACAGCTAAGCGGACTGATGGATTGGCCAGCGACGCTCAGCGAAACTAAAAGAATGAATGGAATGCCATGGACTGCAAGCCGTTTGCAGATTTGTTTGGCTGAACAACTTCCGAATGATCCATCTGGGGCTCCGGTCTTTGGTCAAGCAAATTCTGAATGACCTCGGCGCTCGGAACCACAACCAAGTGGCCAAGCCAGTCATCAACACAGGGCATACGAAGGGGCCAAGGGGCCATGCTAATGCTCGGGGTACCATCTTCCCGAAGCAGTGCAGTCCGCATCTTCACGCAGCCAAAGGGCATAGTTACCATAAGGATGGGCACAAATGTTGATCGCGTCTTGCAGAAGGCAATCGATCAAGTCGTTGACCTGTCTTTCCCCACACTCACACACACGAAGGTGTCCAACCGCGGGCCCAAGACTTGGCAACGTTCTCTCCAGGGATGTGGCAAAGCTGCTCTTCTACAAAAAGGGCCTTCTACAAAAGTTGCTAGTAACAAGTGCCTTACTACTAGGAACAAAGACGGTTCATCCACCTGACGGTTCTGTGCACTCGTTGGCTCCTGCGCTCCTTCGGCCTCTGTCGGGGTTGCGAAAAACCACATGAAAAACATATTGAGGAGCGACCAGCGACCCGCCATGAAAGCCCTGGTTGGCTCACCTGGTCTGCTGGCCCGCACTCCAAGAGCCGCTGAATGATGCGGCAGCCGTACCTGGAGATGGTGAACCTAAGCTGCATACCCCCGTGGCGCACCTACCTTAGATGGAAGGCATCGACAATAGCACTCTTGGATATGGATGGTTTCAACCAGTATCTTGTCCAAGCAATCGACCAATAATAAGCATTCGCTCAAATGGATTTTTGTTCTGATGATTGATTGATTTCTTGATGACGGGAGACGATCAGTTGGGACTGTTGCCTCCCTTCTTTGTGGAGAACGATCGTGTGCTCCGGAAAGCTCCGCTTTCCTCCACTCCGCTTCCCAGGTCTTCCGACCTCCCTCACAGTCGGCCCCTCAGTGCGATCGAAGCGCCAAGCTCGCTCGCCAGATCGCTACTTACAGGTACCATGATTGATTTCCTCAACTGACCCAAAGATTTACGGGCACTTGTGCCGTGCGGCTTGCTGGATCATCTCAGGACCTGCATCAGGGGTCTTAAGATAAGGTCTCAAATCCCGGGCCAAATGGGAGGTGCCGAGAATGCTTTGGCACACTTTGTTCTCACACAGTTTTGATGCATTGGATGATCATTGGATGAGTTGGATTGCTTTTACAAAGTATGTATAATGACAGCAATGACTGGCAACGGGGCGTGTCAGCTTTTATGGTCTACAGTAACAGCCGAGGCCCGAGACGTCTGTGTGCAGACCGGCCTTTCTGCTTCAGTTCCTGGAAAATGAAGTTCATGTTCTCCCGTGAGAGTACCTCGAACGAGAAGTGCCCACGACCCCGACACGAGTTCCTTCAACCCGCGAGTCTGAACACCTCCCCCTCGGGCCCCTCGAACTTGCTCTGCGAACACAATGATTTCTGCACCCGAGCTCGATCACCGCACCGTTCAGTTCATGTATACCGAGCTCGATGTCGCCAGCAGACACTTCAAATCATTCCTGTAGATGTATGTCTTTAGAACCTGCTTTGTGTAAGATCTTTCAACCCACCAACTCAGGGCACCGTCACGCACTTCTGGAGAACATAATTCGCAAAGGGGCAACGCAAGGCCTCCCATACATGCCCTGGCCACACGTGGTTGCGGGGTCCGACGTTTGCTTTGGTGCTTCGTGGGGTCCGACGTTTGCTTCGGTGGCTCCAGTGACCGGGGGCCCCCACGCGTCCGAGCGGCGATTGGAAAATGGGTTTTGCCATGCGTTCGGTGACACCACAAGTGTCCAGTCTATCAGTCTTAGCATTGGAAAAGGCTGTTCCTTCCCCAAGACCCTGTCCACGTCTCTCGTACTTCTCTGAACACCCTGTTTCACCTACCATGACATCGCGTTTTCAGCCTCGAAGCTCCAGTGCCATGGCCAAGCGCCTCGGAACGAACGAGGAAAGAACACGGCCTTTGGAGGGCGTTTGAGGAATCTGATGAGCGATGCTTTGTTGCTCAGGTTCACAAGCTTATGGCAACTTCACAACCCTCCGCACAACGAACTGCCTGATCTTGGATGCGTCCTTTCATGCAGCGCCACGTGCTGTGATGTGTGCTGATTTTGGTGCATACCCAATGTGCACTCCAAACAGCTAAAAGTGAAGCTAAGGCTGGAGCTCCTCTTGGTCAGTAGCTTCATCAAAGGCTCGTTGGACCTAGCGGCAACGATAGGCAGGTGCACACACTAAATCTTGGTCACGTGCACAGGGCCGCTCAGAATTCAGGTGCCAACAGCAACCCCCAAGATGTCTTGTCGAGGTTTTTCTGCATCTCTCAAATCGCTGGTGGAGAATAGAATAGAGATCCTAGCGGTCCTCGCCTCCCGGCAGCCTTTGCTATCTCTGGACATGCTCCAGATTCGTTGAGACCTAGAAGCTTCGCAGGACATCCAAGGACAACTCGCAGCTTCGACCCGCAGCTTCGTATGCCGGTTTTCCATCCTCCAACACCCAACAGTCACATCCTCATCACAGTCACATCCAACCACAGCACCCGAGGCAGCTAGCGCCCCCCACCACCAAGCTCCAGGGCGTAGTTGAAAGGAGCCCTGGACCGACCACCGCTGAGACCTTCTCCATGCTTCAGTTGCTCAGTTACACCGAACTGGAGAAAAATGAAAAAGATCTAAAGAAATAAGAGAGAGAGAGAGAGGGAGAGGAAGAGGGAGAGGGAGAGGGAGAGGGAGAGAGAGAGAGAGAGAGAGTGTGTGTGTGTGTGTGCGTGTGCTTGGACTGGCACCGAGAGAAGCCAGAGTGACCACCCTTGAGGCCCACAAAATGCGGTGCTTTCTACGAGGCCGTCCCAGGATGTCCCTTTTCGGCGTCACCAGTGTCCCTTTTCGGCCCAGATCCTGTTCGGATTTGGTGTTCTACCATGTTCTACCTAACTTTGGTTGCTGTGATGCTCTACTATTCTTGTCTTTTGCAACAAGAATATCTAGAAATGGGTTCGAAGAAATGAGTGCGATCTGGCAAACAGTTGGGCAAGTGTGCTGGTGCTCATTGTTTGTGCCAACTTCTGGGGCTGATCCTGTTGGTGTGTGTTCAAAAGTTGATGCCACCCGCCTTCTCCTTCAGGACAGATTCGAAGGTAATTCCTTGGCTAGTAAGTGGCATGCAAGCCGTCTCACAATGGTTCTAAGCTGAAAACGTGTCAAATTGAAAAGTCAAGTGTGCTGACCAAGTTGCCATGAAAGACATGGCAAACCATGGTGTCTAACATATTCTGATTGATTGATCATGCCCCAGAAACAGTTTGAAGTGGGACATCTCCCCAAGCTGAAATGTATTGCGAAGAAAGTTCATGGATCTTCTTCCTGCAAATCTATATACAGTATAAACACATATACTGTAAATGATATATACAGTATATGCTCCTTTTGTTCATCCCGGGACCCCCCAAAACGACGCCAAGGGGCCGAAGCTGGGAGTGGGGCCGACAGAGCTGTTGACCTAGGATGTCCGATGTCCAACGAGTTAAAAGTGGGAAGCCTTTTGAGTCAAGACATAACAGTTTGATTCTGTTCTTCTGCAGGGTGGTTTGGCTAGGCTCAGCAAGGACTTGGAGTCCTAATAAGGTCTTGCAAATTTCGCTGCAGAGTTGGCCATGACTCCTGTATGGCTACGGCCCGTGCAACAAGAGAGACTTGCAACAAGTTGCCCAAGACTCCAACAAACGGACCGGCACTTGTCTTGAGCGCGCCAACATCCAACAAATTTCAATTGCACTCTATCCATGCAAAACCTCTTGGAACCGCACTCTGTCTTGGAGTTCTTGCGGCAAGTAGATAACCTGTGCCAGCAAAAACAAACAAAAGATCCACAAATTCCACAATAGAACCAAATCTGAATTTGCCTGTTTTTTTCCAGAAACAAAACGGATCCAATTTGTTTGAATGAAAAATGATGCAACCCAAATTTCTAGCCAAGGTGCCCAAGAGGGTGCCTCAGTGGCAAATCGCAAACGCGAACTCAACGCCTGCAAAGGATGTGCCTGGCGGGGGAAGAGACCACAAGAACTCTTCGCACAAAATTTCCCTGAACTTGCCTGCCGCCAAAAATGATTCTCAAACAGAACTCCTGCGATTTGTTTCCATTCTCATCATGGAGCAATTTAGCTTTACCGCTCCGCCGCTGCACAGGCCTGCTGACGAACAACATGGGAACCTGAAGGCTGACACACTTCCCGACCGGGTTCCAATCCAATTCGTCATCTGATTTTCAAGACGCCGCTCAAGCCCCACACCCGACTCAGCTTCTGTGGGATGCATAATGAGGTCCTTCGGAGGACAAACGTCCGGCTAAATCCTCGAAGAAAAACGGCCATAAAAGGCAAAATATGCGATTATCCAT